GATGAAGCTTTTCATTTGAGTTGGATGAGAGGAACAGTTAAACATGGTGGTGGAAGTGTAATCTTATGTGGTTGTATGGCATGTAATGGTATTGATAAACTAGAATTTATTGATAAAACTATGAAAGCTGATTTGTATAAAAATATATTAACAAAATTTAAAATCTTCTGCTAAAAAAATTTGATTAAAAAACAGTTTTTTGTTTCAAGACGACAATTGTCTGAAACACACTGCTAGAAAAACTAAAACCTTTTTTGATGAAAATGGCGTTAACCTTTTTACAATGGCCTTCACAGAGCCCTGATTGAATCAAATAGAACATTTATGGACTTTATTAGATAAAAAAAATAGGTCATAGATCATATACCAAAAAAGAAGATTTAAAAAAAGCTGTTGCTAAATCATGGTCTAACATCAACAACAATCATGGTTTAACATCAACAATAATCATGGTCTAACATCAACAATAATCATGGTCTAACATCAACAATAATCATGGTCTAACATCAACAATAATCATGGTCTAACATCAACAATAATCAAATGTCTAGTTTAATCAATGCCAAAATGCTTGTTAGATGTAATTAAAGTAAAAGAAGGACAAACAAAATATTAAAGTATATTAATAAAATATAAAAATTTGAAACTCTTTCTTATTTATTTTATTAAACTGATAATTGTTATTAGCTTTAACCTGTAGGGCTTCTTTTGTACAATTTCGTGCAAGTGTTTTTATCCCCTTCTTCTATTTTAAAATTTCTGATTAGGAAATTTAAAAGAGTAAGAAAATATTTTACTTTTTTTATGAAGGCTTTTTAACGAATGAAAAATTTGACAAAAGTTCTTTATAATTAATGCATGATAAAATATTTTATTCAAAGGTGTTAATTTTATTAAAAAATTACTTTGTACAATAGAACTCTATTCTCACTGTGTGTGTGTTTGTGTATATATGTATATACATACTATTGTTTTTATTTGTAGGTATGGTTGGATCCCTAAAAAAGAAGATCTTTCAGATGAGCTAATATCTGCATATAACTGGGTATTCCCTCTATCAATTACACACATGGAAATACTGTGTGCAGCATTAAGGACAAATTCACGCAATTCTTTATTCATGATTCGAGATGAAGAATCGTTAGCTGGTATTCCTGATTCATTTTCATTTTCATTTATAGATACTCAAGAGCTGTCTAAATTAAGCCTTCAGGTATTTTTTTATTTCTAAAATCTGCTGTAAGATTTAGAAAATTAAACTGAAAATTTATATTCTTGTTATTCATTTTATTAACATGTATATACATATACATATATATGTATACATATATATATATATATATATATATATATATATATATATATATATATATATATATATATATATATATATATATATATATATATATATATAATGTATATATATATATATATAATATATATATATATATATATATATATACATATATATATATATATATATATATATATATATATATATATATATATATATATATATATATAGTATATATATATATATATATATACATATATATATATATATATATATACATATATATATATATATATATATATATATATATATATATATATATATATATATATATATATATATATGTATATATATATATATATAAATATATATATATATATATATATATATATATATATATATATATATATATATATATATATATATATATACATATATATATATATATATATATATATATATATATATATATATACATATATATATATCTATATAAATATACATATATATATATATATATATATATATATATATATATATATATATATATATATATATATATATATATATATATATATATATATATATATATATATATATATATATATATATATATATATATATATATATATATATATATATATATATATATATATATATATATATATATATATGCAGCCCTTGGATTTAGGGTCTGCATTTGGCAATGCAGACCTAATTGGTGACCTAAAAGTGTTTGAGGTCCGCAAGAAGCAGACCTCATATGTATATGTATATAAACAACCCGATGCCAGTCATTTTTTTTTTCGTGACTTTTCTAAAAGGAAAAAAAAATAGTCTAAATTCTAAATTATAAACAAATATAAAAATAATTTATGAAGCTTTAATATTTAACCTTAATATTTACATTTACATGCAATTCATAGATAAAAATTCAACAAGCCATTCTGATCGGAGTTTTTATTCTCCATTGCTTAATTAGGGCATAAATTCTTTTAATCAACCAGTGCTTGTTGATGCGGTGTCAAAGGACAGAGAATTAACATATTCAAAAAGTTTTGTAAAGTTTCTTTAATTATTTTACCAAGTGATTCTGCAGTGTCACCTTTTACAGTTGCAAAACTAATAATTTTTTAAAATTAAAATATCATAATTTTAAAGTCAAAATGCAAAGTAAGATTTTACCCTCAGCCAAGCCAGTTAAGTTTTTTTTTTTATAATACATGCAATTTGACTTATATTTGATTTTTTTCTGTCTTAAAGTACTTCACTTAGAATAATCATCAATGCTTTGAAACTTTATAAGAGAAGCAAGTGTTGCACTTAATGCAGTTGAACTTATTCCAAATTGCAAGAAAGTCAGAGCTTAATCTTTTTCTAATTTTTTGTGTGAATAAAACAGAGTCTATTCTAGGAAAATAATTTGGGCAGTGGTACCCCATGCTGGCGTTAGCCTTAAGGAAATTTAGCATTGCCATATGTAGGTGTTTTTTAGTGGAAAAAAAACAGTATTTTCTGTATTACTTTATGTTTAACCATGTCAAAAAGGGTCTAGAATACCCCCTGTAAAAAGAGGAACAGCTTTAGATTTTTTAATTTTTCAAAAAGGATAGAGATACTGTTTATCTTTGTCATTATCAAAAAAAAATGAACATTTTGTTGTCTCTTCATTTTTCAGTAACCAACCCTTTTTGTTTTCTAATCAACTCTTTTTTTCTTATAAATTTTTTTCTTATTTCTTGTTTTTTTTTGTAATTTACAATTTTTTGTCAAATTTTATCATTGCATAATATTTTTTTATCACACAACTCTTTCTAGTTATGAAATCTTCTACATCTTCTTGTCTAGTTTTAAAATCTGGGGGTAAATTAAAAGAAAAAAAATTAGTTTGTAAAAGTAAGTCTGAAAAACATTCTGGATTTAAGTTTTAATTAAAGTGAAATAAAAATTAAAATGAAAAATATATATATTGGGAAAATATATTCAATATTCCTAAATAATAAAAAGAATAAAAAAAAGTTGAATAAGTAAATATATTTTTTGTATTTATTGTTTGTTTTTTATTTTTTAGCGGCTTAAAAAAGAATTAAAGAAAAGATTTCCTAATAAAACTTATTCATACAAATCCAAAATAGTTGGAGTAGATACATCCACTGGACTTCAAAAGGTTATTTTTGTACTCAAATTATTTCATAACTTTTTTTTTTTATTGCATTAAATGTCAATTTATTGTCAAATATATGATTTTTTTTTTTTGCTTAGATAAGTTGTAATACAAATGTAATTGTTAATAAATTTTTATGTTGTTAATGTTTAAGTTGCATTTGTTTCTAGTTATTTTTTTTTTTTTTTTTTTAATTTTAATTCACCTCCTCAAGGCCGAGAAGGCCACTACAGACGAGGAGGCTACATTTATATATTTTAAGGAGTATGGTATAAAAGTTATATAAATTTCTTTAATTTCAGATTTTTAATAAATGCAGTTATTGATTTTTAATTATTGCCTTACGGAGAATAATAAAAAGTTAATTAAATTTTTTATTCTAATTAGTAAAAAAACTAATATAGTATAAAATACTAAATAAAGTAAAGTTTTTTTAAACAATGTTGACACATTTTTAAATGACTTTTATTGACTTTTATGCTGAACTCACCATGTGTTTTGACTTGTTTAAAAAAAAGATTTAGTATTCTTGGAGTATGAACAAAAAAATGATTGTAGCAAATTTGTATGCTAGAATTTGTTTTGTTAGGTTTTGTAGAATTTTTAGAACTCATAGAGTTATTTATTTATTTTCAGCTGCGTTTTAATGAGTTAGATGAGTTCGCTTCAGTGATCACAAAATATTACAAAGAACGCATTGAAGAGTTTGCACCTTTAGTAAAAGAAATTGTGGATAATTCAGCATTTCAACAAAATGCTTTCATACAAAAAAAAGGTATGTTTAATATAACAAATCTAATATATAATTAAGTGTGAAAATAATGTTAGAATAGTTATGTAAGTAAGTTCAAATTGCCACAGTAAAATTGAAATTATATAAATATTTTTAATTATATAAGGGGTACAAAGTTTGAATCTTGAAGGAATACAGCCCTTAACTTAATACTTACTTGTGTGTTACTATGCATGTTCTTTGTGTTAAATAAAATGTAGTAGTGGTAGTAGGCTCAGCTCACAATCAAGTGATTCTAGGTTTAAATCTATTCTATGCCTTTAGAAGTATTTATCTTGACTTGTCAGGGCAGCAGCATAACAATAATATATGGCCCTCCGTTTATTACTTGATCCAAAGTAAATACATTAGAATGTCCAGAATTAAAAATTAATTTAAACTGAGAAGCTAATCTTATTCTGAAAGCTTTTTAGGTCTGGAAAATAAGATAATTAGAAGTGACAAATAAAAGTTTTGACTTTTCAAATTTTAACAAATTATATGGATCAGCTGTTTTCAACTTTTATTAAAAAAAAATAAATCAATTACTTCAAACAGTATTACCTTAGTTAGGCTATAAAACTATAAAATGCAAAATTTGAAAGATACATAACTTCTAAATTCTATATTATTATATTTAGCTTTAGATAAAAGTAAAATATTCAATATTTTTCTTTTTAAATAATAAAAAAAAATACTATCATTTAAACTTAAAAACTTGAAAAGAAAGAAAAGCAATAAAATAAAAAAAGCAAAACTTATATTTGATA